GGCTGCTAGATGGCCTTCTACCTGGACTGACCAAGGGAGTATGTGGGTGTGCTGGTGCAGATGACTATGAGAAAGTTTGGTAAACAGGAATATGCTTAATTGGTGCCACGAATAGCGGCAAGAACAGTAGTTGAATTGAAAGTGGATCTGCACATTATGTGGGTGCACTCACATAATCAAACCATTACCACACACTGAAATCAACGCGGTGGGTGTCTGTGTTGTTTCAAGATAAACAAACACGGGGCCAGCGTGAATTGCAGCCGATGTCCACGTCAGAGGGACTGCATTGTGGGCGAGTGCAGGTGAACTGATTAGTGTTGCGACACGCGATTTGCAGTTTGCATGTTCGCGAACTCGGTCAACTTGATGTGTTGGCCTGTCCAGTGATGGAAGCCTGTGACGCCGTACTTGGGAAATTGTGACAATTGCCATCGAGACTATCGTGAGCCTCAACAAAACCACCTAACGTCGACTGACGTGGATGCAGAGGCTAATTCGTGGGAACCCGACGTAATCTTCACTGAACTGAATTAAACAGTTCACACGTCTTGTCAATTTGTGCCTCCGAAGTGAACAAATAAACCTCACTAATGCACTACAGACAAGTCCAACTTCTAGCTCACTGGCTCTCTCGACTATGCGACAAGTGGCTTTTGGCGATGGATGAAGTAGTGGCTAACAGTGGCAGGTGAGATGGATGTGAAGAAACGGGGTGTGTTAATTGGCCTGCAACACGAAATGTAAATTTAAATCGCTGTTTCCAGGCTAGAATGTGTGACGCTGTTGAGAATGCTGCTTCCCACGCAGTCCGAAAGGTGGTAAAACGGTGAAGGAATGTGGAGTTATTTTAATGATTTTGTATTTAATGTTATTTTAGATGTTAGCGGAGATTTTTAGAAAGCCCTTGCGCGGAAGATGTACACAATTGTGACGCGTGCGTAAATTGTTGGAAACGTTACAGACAAGAGTTCGATGTGAGATTAAATAAATCATTTTGGTGACTAACGCGGTCGCAGCAACGGGATTGGCTTTGTTACATTTGAAATACGTAACCTATTCAAACGTTACGATAGACTTGATCTTTAACGAAACCACGTAGAAATGCCTTGCATCGCGTTGTTGAGCAACGAACGTCAAGTAGGCCTAGAGCGAGTCGTGGGTGTGTGCCCACCACGCAGGAAAGCATTCCTCACCTTCGAATGGGACGCGGAGGAGGTTGAGATTGCTGTGAGGCTCCACGAGGTTTCGGCGATTTCGCCGAAGCCGAGCGCCACTGCACCCTCCACCAGCCACGTGAATGCCAGAAAAGTGCCCCGGCGGCCCCTGCACATTGGCCTGTCAGTCAGCCAGCCAAAGAAGAGACGCGAAAGCAAGTCCACAATCCCGGCCACGGCAATCGCCATGTTCGTCTGCAAGGGGAACCGGGAAAGCAAACAGTGACTTGTCACTTGGTATTTCGTCGTTGCGCGCGCATTCCTCTTAGGATCGTTAATTTATTCTAAAAAAAAGTTTTATTTTGATTCCCACAAGTGCTCAGCATCGAATATCCATTTTTAAGTTTAAAATTCAAGTTTCATAAAATTTACCTCATGTCATCATTTAACCAGAAAACTTCATTTGTAGGGGCAACATCGAACGCTGGACCTTTCGATCCTTTAAAGCTCATTTGGTATAAGTAGGAAGTGGTGTATCGGTGAAAGTGTTATAAAGGCACCACATAGTCGGAAAATTTCTGAATCAGGATATCTAGTAGTAAGCTTGAATCCAGCCTACAAGTTAGGCTTTGAAAATTAACAATCTTGCAGGAGAAAATAGGGAAATATAGTTGCATCCTGCCAGCCTCAGCTTTAGGATAATTATTGGGCCTCACTATGTTATTCTGACGTGAAAGTCGCTGAATTCATTGGATTTCCCATAATTTAAAGAACAATGTTGTTTCAGTCGTAAAATTTGTTTAAAAAGGTGCTGAGTGAAGACAAATAAACGAACGACACCGTGATGACCGGGCGTACGACAAATACCGCCGTCCGTAGGAGTTGTTTAAATTTGACTGCAATACAAATGCCAATTAGCCTTTAAAAGAAGACATAGATTTTTGCTTTAAAATTAGTAGGCCAAGTTCAAATAACCGATCTGCATTGCGGGGCTGCCGTGCCGTTCACTTTGAGGGCACTTATAAATTGTAACCTATCTAATTGCAGTATCCCCAATGCCTGCACTTCAAGTCACGCTCCCATGCCGTTGAATTCGAGTACCGAATGTGTTTGTACCTGATCCGAAGGTATTTTGCTTAAAGACATCTACATTTTAACACTTGAATACAAAACGTAACATGAACCAGCCGTTTCGTTCAAAATATTGCGACTTTAATGTAGACGAATGTCAAAATATTGTGAACCATTCGCTGGAAATTCATGGTAAGTCGTGTGCACCGACTGGTAAAAAAAGGTAAGCGGTGATACAATAGGGCAGGCTTGATTTGATTCAGCCCTCCCAGCATACGCCTCCACCATAAAAGCCCAGGGAGCAACAGAAGTCGTTTTTTTTAACACAAAGGTCACCAATTACAAGTCAAGTTAGGGCACGTATGGTTTGAAGGTGCTGATTATCATTTGAACACAGTTAGAGAGAGGATCGTTTCTAAAAAGCAATTCGGTGTAGCATTTTTGAAAGGTTATGACAAACCAGTATAATACTTGGTGCCAATCGATTCCTGTTATCAGTTAACAGAAAATTAAACATTGCCAAGTCTTGAAAACACTGCTATCGACACCTACTAAAGGTTGACAAGGAGAAGCATCATCTCACCAAGTTTTAAGCCTATAATTACCGATAACACAACAGTCAGATAACGACTCTAAACGGTGTGGCATGATGTGGAAGTAAGGTTCGCTAGATGCAGCGCCTGCAAACCGTCGGTGGTTCAAGGAGGTCAAAAGCGGAGGAAACTGACTCCTTCCCGTATCGGATAGTGGTTGCAAGATGGCTACTGATTAACTTCTATGTGAATAAGTGATGAAGCGTGAAGATTTGCAGAACTTTTAGTGAAATGGAAGGATGATAATTTATAAGGACGTAAATTAATAAAGAAACAACTCACAGTGTGCGCAGAGAAGCCGATCTGGGAACCGTAAGGCGGTGCGATAAATGAGATGCCCACATCCCCGTTGTCCGCGAACACCTTACCGATGACGAAGATTACGAGGAGCGCTGTTGCTAGTCGCTCCTGGTGCTGCATTATCTTGGACGAGGACGAATACACTGTCAAGGGGGTCTCTCTAAACAGAAGCAAAATCCGGCGCAAGAGGTTAAGGAAAGATTGACGTCGAGATTGCATAAAAATGAAAAGCAAGTTATGCAAAACAGGAACAGAGGCAGTCAAACGATGGGAGCAACGGAACCATAAATCATAAATTTGTTCGTACAGAGTGCCTTATGCACGCCCAAACACGCATTGCAATGGGGTAACAAAACGAGGCTACACTAAAGTCGGCAAAGCGGTAAGGATGGCTAAAATTTCGTGTGCTTGTAGCCTCAGGTGCGAACTCGTGACCTTATACCAGGCTATCGGAAGGCTAGCTTTTTCGATCCAAGATAATGTGAAGATAAAGAGCAGAGCAGTAGGCCTCAAGTTTGTACTGCTTTGCAAACACTTTTACAACGTAGTACCGATTCTCCTGTGTATATTCTGTATTTAAAAAGACCACGGACAAAGCCATTGAGATGCATTCACTGGTGATCCGGCAACCAGACTGATACCAGGTTTGTGTGTAACCTTTGGGGCACGTGGCCTTGCGTAAGCACTCAGCAAAGTGACTCTTTTACAGATAACTTATGCATTACACTTTTCTTACTGTTGGTGTTTAGCGCACTAAATTGTTTGGCAGTTGCCTTGTCTTACGACAGTTCGGAAACACCTATCCCTCTAAGTCTTGCCCCACATTGCTCTTATACTGCTTTTTGTGGATCTGGTTTTGGTGATTGTGGACATTTGCTTATGTATTTACGTGGGTATGCATAAAATAACAGGGTTCTCTTTAGAGGGTGAATAAATGGTCAACTTCCAGCGAATTCTCAACCACCCGGTTTTACAAATTGTCCCTCGATCCAATAGTTACCCTTTTTGGCCTGTCATTTCATACGAACGAATTTAACGCAGCTCATCAATGCATTTTGCTTGTAGCAATCTTCCTCAAAATAATTCAAGCTGACTAGCAAATGTGGGTAGCACGTCAGTGAAGGAAAACGACTGGAGCTGTATCTGATTACTATGCGAAATCTCCATCTGTTTGCCATGGGTCTTACTTAATCCAAGTCTTTAAACTGACGGAAATGCAGTCTGAAGTGAGGCATCAACGTGTTCCGCCGTCGGAGGACAAAGCTTGAAAACAGATCATTGGTAGCCAATTTAAAACGACTCTGAATTTGCAATGACTCTGTCTGCACTTCTGACTGTGTAGCGACATTACGGCGATTTCTCAACCATTCAAGGTTCCCCATGCGTTCATCTTGGCTGCATCATAGGCCGATAGGCTGACTCATCTAAGTGCAAAACAATTCGTCCACTTCGCGCGGAGACAGTGCACATGTTCGCAGCGAAGTCTACCAACGCCTAAACAAAGCACGAGGGAGCATTCTGGCCGCACGCGAGGAAGGCGAAGTGCGTCGACACTCCACGTAAGCGTATTTGTACAAATGAAATGTCGAACGTGGTTCTCTAAACACATTGACTCGCCATTTTTGACCACAAAAGGGCTTGTGTTTGAATAACGATAGTCCATGTGCAAGATTAACCGTATAAAATATTGCAAGAAAGCTTCGTGATCCAACGTAAATGCTTTTTGCAAGTAGCAAGGTAATAAGGTTAGTAATTTTAGACGAATCAACTTGATGTCTTGCAATTAGTCAATGGGATAGACAACAATGATGGCTGAAAGTAAGTCTCGTGTGTGAAGCTAATGCCGGAGATGTGGTGGGATTGCTAACATGACTGGTACAAGGACACCAGTTTGAAATCGAACCCTTGTAAAGTGCCATTGTATACCCGCGAGTCTGGCAAAACCATCATTTTATTTTCTTCGTTTGGAGGTTTCGAAACTTTCAAATGGTAGGGGCAGAGGTAGGAGCCGAGACATCAACTACTTGGCAATATTGCTCTGCAGATGTTCTATTTGAGTAGCCTAGATAATATTTACCTCTGCTGCAGCATCGGATCTAGTTCCTTTTCGTCAAGGTCATTGGCACTGCCTCCCAAGGGACTAGGCAGGAGACTTGAGGAGGGCTCTTCGATTCGCCTAGAAATGGACGAGGAGCTAACAACAATGTCTTCCTCGGACTCCGCGTCGACTACGTGACGTGGCATCAGGGCCGCGGTTATGCACAGGTGGAGGGAGAAGGCTGCCATGACGACGGTGCCCGCGCGAACCCCGTAGCGCTGCAGGAAAAGGGTCACGAGGCTGGGGAAAGCCATCTGGCCCACGGAGACACCGGCTACGCTCAAGCCGTTTGCGAGGCCAAGTTTCTCACGGAAACAGCGACCAATGACGGAAAAGATGTTGAAATAGACGCAAGAGAACGAGAAGCCTGAAAAAGCAACCAATTTCGCGGTAAAGATAGTCACATGCGAAAATCCAGCCAAGGCAATATACATGCGAGTCTGTGTATCACTTGTATTGGGGTCTTGAACTGATGGCAATTGCACAGTTTGATTTCCATAAATTAAAAACGAATAAAAATATGGAACAGATAGAAACCCACACCATTAAATAGCAAAGTGTTCGCGTCTCCAGGTGCCGATGCCATCGCTAAGTGCAACTTCGACCACAGGGATGACATTACACTATATATGCATGGCAATTCACGTAACACACTTTTGGATCTCTTGCGAACTGCAACTGACATGCATCACTTTTACAAACCACACCATTGTAATCAGGAAGCCGCATTGGATTGGACAAAGGGTGAGGGTTACTTAAAGCATTTGACTTTTTGAACGGATTAAGGGGTGACTCATGCCGAGGACTTAATAAGCGTTGCGTCCTTTCAACATGGCGAGCTCATTAACCGCGAATAGCTGTTTATTCCTGACATTTGCACTTGATCAGTCATGCGGTTAGAACAGTAACGCCACCCAGTTACGCATTACTGTCTTTGACAAGCTTGTGGTCAGTGGACCAGGCGGTGCTATGTTTATCACTTAAACATGCGGACGGCTACACTTGGTGTAAACCACCACAAAACACGAAAACACGCTGTGTCTATCCTTAGACCCAGACAGAGGCGAGACACGAAAGTGGACATCGAGGTATCATTACCTAAATTCGGAGTGTTTCGTGGTTTATGCACACATCAAGTTTCTAAAATAGCACTAATTTACCGAACCAGTGACATAATTCAGGTACTCTTATGCCCGAACTACAAGGACACCATTCTTTTTTTCTAAATGGTGTGAAGGACTGCTTTGGTCTAGCCAGGCGTTGCATTGAACAGTAACTTAAATAGAATTAGAGTCTGTGCCTAACGGTATCTGGGCCGTTTGGGAAGAACAGTGGGTGCATTGTGCAAGGATCGCGATGAAATCGACCATAAAATCACACTTATTGGTAGGCGCAAGCAGGATTTGATTGCACTATGTTCTACTAGGTCAGGCACTTGAGTTATCCTAGCAGAACGCCAACTATAATGTGGGTTAGACTGATATTTGCCACGTGCGGCTTCTGTGATTATGTCCTATAAACAGCTGCGAATTTGGGGATAAAACCGAAGTACTGATTCAACGGAATGCTTGGTAGCAATATATTGTTGTGCGATTTCTACTCTTTCAAGATATCCTTTGGAAAAAGAACTCACCGACACCTCCACCGATGGCGATTGCCCAGACGGTAACGTTTGGTGCGATCGCAGCGATAAAGAGGCTGACACACGCTCCAATACCACCAATCATCACAACAGCTCGGTCACCGATGCGCTGCACCACAAAGTGATTCGGTAAGGCTAAAAAGGGACAACATGGCATAAAGACACAAAATTACACAAAAAGGTTTCGAAGGTCAGCCGAGAGGACTTTGCAAGGTGCTAGTTAAGTAGGCGGTCTGTCGTATCACATTTGTGCGGTGCCCAAAACTCGTTAATGAACGACTCAACGCGATGAACAAGCAGTCGCATTGCATAAGGGTACAAGCAAAGTCTCAGTGACGCAGGCCAAACTGACTACGGTGTTCTTCATGAACAATATTTTGTAATTTGTTTCAATCATGAACTTTACGTGTTAGACCGCTTACTTAAACGGCACCTTTTACCAAACAATTAAGTTGGTTTGGTAAGGTCTACTTACTGGCCGTGAGGAGGGGAGAAGGCATGCAAGGCATCTGGCCCAGTGCTGACATAATACATAGTTTGGACAAATAAATTTGGAGACCTACAACAAACTTTCCAGCAGATGACACCGGGTGCACCTACAGCACCCGTCAGGATTGGCTCCACGACCGAAGGATGGGTCTATTTTTTAAATGACGGAAAGGGATTTTAAGTTTAAGACAAATTATTTGTTAATGGTTACACTTTAGGCAAATCTTGAATTCGTATAAACCATCTCCACGCGTAACACAAGTTAAGCAGCTAAATCACACCGTAATAGAATGACACTGTTGGCGCTATTGCCTCTTTTTGATGAATCGTCGGCCTAGACAGAGGTCATTGCCAGCTTGATGAGGGATGTAGCAACAAACGAAGTCGAGAGAGCAAAAAGAAGTCAAGAGGTTGGAAGGACGTCACTGCGCGTTAGTAGGCCACAGAGACTTGCGTTTTGTAGCCAAAGCAGGACGTGTGGGTGTGAGTCAAGCATGTGCCGAAGGAGGGAAGAAAGGCATTTTGGGAATGACACATGGGATTGGAGCGTCTTGTTACAATCGAAGCTAAGAACCTCCGAATGTGCGGTGAAAAATAAACACAACCAGCGGGTTACTAGCTACAGATTGGAATACAGCAACAGTTTTTGGGCCTGCATGACCAATTCCATCTAGGCTGTCTTGTGGTGAGGTCACATCAGCCAGCCTATAGCCACTGAACAGGGTGCGCTTTCGTGATTGCATTCAGACAAACTCAAACCTTACCACAAAACAGCTGAGATTCATTGGAAATTTGATTATAAAGTTACAAACTAAATCCAAGATCAACCTGCGAACAAAGAGTGCACAGCCACACAGCAACCTTCATTCCCGTAGTTACTATGCGAATCACTTTAACGAAATAGCTTGAACGAAGTTGCAGAAAATAAACAAGTCACGGATTATGCGTAAACAGATTGAAACATTTTTCACCAATGCGATTTACCGTCGAAATCGTTAGGAGCCTTTACCTTCCTACTAACAATACTATGGCCAAGGAAAACTCAGGCAAAGTGAAATTCATGCAGTTAGAATTGCATAAAAAACAAGAACTGTAGACTTTCGATCCCTCCAGAGTATAAAGTCGACGCCTAATTAGAGGCAGTAAATGACCAAGAAATCACCAAATCAGACTATTTTGCAGACCAAAAGAACGTGGGATTACGAAGGTCGAAACAGAAGAGTATGGAAATTGGCAGACAGAAGTCAAGAAAACATTCTACTCCCAGGAACGAATAAATAAGTTGTTTGACATCAAGTGAAGATCAAACTGTGCAGTCCGGACAATTGTGGCCATCATCATGTGTTTGCATATCAAAAATATTTCAATTAAAAAAAAACAATGAAATAAATAACGAACACCACCCACCAGCTAACACAAACGAAACATCTCCATTCTCATGGTCCGCGGTTTTACTGCCACGGTTTAAATTACCTCCAAATGCGACAACTTGGGACAAACTCAGATGTAAATAATTTACTGGGAGTGGATATTGCCCATCGAGCATTCTCGAGAATGCCAAACTGCCAACAGGGCATGTCACAGTTAGGCATGGGTAAATACGTAATGAGGGGCATGCGCAACTTACGGAGGGCGTGGGCGTTTCGGCTTCTTTCTCTACCACTCCATAGTTGTCACAGCCGTTGGGGGACGGTTTTCCACTGTGTCTCGTCACTGGGACTGTCGGGGGTAGGTTGATGTGTTTCGCAATTTCTACAAGACACACCTCCTACACACATCCCCGGGTCAGCGACACGCTACCAGCCAAGCACTGGCGAATACTTGCCGGTAGTCAAGATAACCAAACATGGGTGAGCGACCGGCAACATACAATGTTTCACAATCACATCATGGAAAGCGAGGCTGGAAAGTAGTGATCAGGCAGTGGCCAAAGAAAATGACCCATAAAAGGGCAACCTGCAAATCAATTGACATTTTGCTCTTCTGAGGCCGAAAGTTCCGTTGCACTAAGTTATGAGTACCAGGAAATCTGCTGACTTAGTTGGATTTTAACATTCCCTATCATCGCTAAATCAACATTCACATTTACAAAAATGTTTGTCTGTTCAATACACTGCCCGATGTTTCGTATGATTTTGAGATAAGCCTCACGACTAAGAGTAGAGGCTTGTTCATTTATAACATTTTCGACGCAGCGTCTTGCCTTTAGGTTGCTGTGCTTTTGGCCACCAAGCAAAACAGAGTGGAAACATTACTCGAAATTCACGAGAATTTATCAGCACTTCAATGCTTATCATAGATACGTATATTTACTCAGTGAAAGACCTACTCTGAATATCTGGCCGTAGACTGGTGTTAGAAGCTCGCTACCCTTTTGCATCATCACATTTGGTTCAGGTGCGAAATCGATCACACCAACAAACCGACGTTGGAAAATGTGCTCTACTCAACCGGAACCCACTAGAATTGAAAGCGGCTATAAGTGACGGGTACAGAAGCGCAGTGTACAGCGATGTCAGCACAATGGTACTCCGATCGAGAATACAAATTTATCTTGGCTTGCATGAAGATCATCTCCTCTGTTTTTTTTTAAACAGGGACCTAGGAAATACATACCTACTTGCATTTTCAGGTCAATAGTAATCAAACAGGAATCGCATAATGAGTGCCGAGTATTACCGTTTGGAGTACATTTCGCAAAGCGCAAGCGGTAAGTAGCCTCGGTTCATGGCAAGTTCATCTCCACTCCAAAAAATCAAGCAATCGTCAAAATTAGGTAAGAAGGACCACGCTCGTGACGCGTTACGTACATAAGACCAAAATGGTTTCAACGAATGCTCCTGTAGGTATCCATCGATGGCCTGGTGTGTTTTCGTTTCGTTACCGATGCTCCTTGTGTTGTAAGACATTTGTGCTAGTTACCGTTTTGTTATGTGCCTTGCAGTCAACTACAGTCTTTGGCAAAGGATGTTAACATTGTTTAACAGTACTGCAATTAATCGAAAGTCACTTGCAGAACATGGACAAAGTTATCAAAGAGAAAGACGAGGAGAGAAGCTGGCCGACATGCAGAAATCCAATTCATTTTAATAATGGTCAGGAGAACCAAGTATTGAGGTGTCGTGCTTGTCATTAGGAATGACAGCAAATCAACTTACAGAGTACAAACATTAACATGTAGATAACCCCTCCGGTAAGAGTGAAAACAGCCGTCGGAGCTTCGAATTCGTCCTGAAAATGCTCCAAGATGATGCCATAGGACTTGCCCAATCCGCCCAGTATAAAGTTCGCAATGAATCCACCTCAAAAGAGAGAAAGTAAGGCATGTGTAAAAAAATTAAGAACGAAAAATTGCGGCATATACGGTTTGCCTGCGTTCGTAAATTGTGCAATCACGGAGGTAAAACCGCTCGAAAAATCTTCCTTTTGAGAACGAGAAAGGTTGGCTGCGGGGTAATAAATTTGGGGGTTGAAACGGTGGTGCAAAGAGCGCTTTGTATAAACGAAAATTGCAAAATTACAACGCTTATCAGTGCACAGTTAAGCTCAATGTTAATACCATAAAAACACTGGCTTAAATCTCAGATATTTTGAGTTGGCTAAAAAAATGCTTGCCCGCGTGTTTCCTCCGCGACAGAGAGCGTGGCAGCCAAAGCGAGTGGCTGTTCTGGGCAATACGAATTATCCACGTTCGTGGTGGGCAAACGTAAACTCAGTCATGCCACGTAGTTGACAAACACATGCACAGTTGAAGAATTCACACAAGAGTCGTGTATTTCAGTGGGTTTTAGTCCTGCCCACAAGAAGGAATGGGTGGGACGGAGTTTAGTCACGATCGCAACTGCAAAATGTAACCATCGCTTGTGTAGTGCTACCTCATAGACAGAGGAGTCCGAGTAAAGCGTAATCAACGTGCAAAAATCTTAAAGCCCACATCTATGTATAAATTACCAGTGGTGTAAGTTAGATCAATTTTGAGGAAACTACGAAGTTACGAACATTGAGCTAAACACTCTGGCGTTACAATAATTCAGGAAGCAGGCAAAAAGTGCCTTGAGAAATTAGGTAGTTCGATGCCACTTTATGCAGTCAAATCTACCCGTAGTGCAATATTGCTGTGATGAAGCTGTTTCGCACAGCATGGTATGAACCCCAAAATGAAAATCTAGTATAGTCTACTTGACAAAAACGACAGAAGTATTCACACGTTTTGTTGGCGCGTCAATGTTCATTTCTATCTGGAGCTGCTCGAATACACACCTTACTAGGGAAAGGCAAAGACAGTGTTTCCTACTATTCTGAGTTTAAACAGAGCTTTAGCATCGATTAAAAGATTTTAATTTATCTTGTCAAGGAATCAAAAGTAACAAACAGCATACAAAAGCAGGCATTAGGAAAACGAAATAAAACGATTGTTTGAGCGGTACTTGAATTCGTAGATGGACGAAACGAAATTATCACGTAAACACTGATGCCTGATCATAGTATTTTTAAATGTGGAGCCCTATTCATAAATACTCTAAAGGTTACAAACGATTTCCTTTCTTCGGAGAGCTACTAGTCTCAATCGCGAAGATCCCTTGACAACTCATAAACATGCGGTTAACACTTTAAAACTTGATAAGAATGTTCTTCTTAGATATGCACTAGCTTGCCTTATGTGTTTGAAAGATGCTTCAACCACTATTAATTCGTTTTATTGCTGTTTGTTATGAAAAAAGGTGCACAATTTGTTCGAAACACCAAGTACAGTGAATTTTACACAAATATTCGTCAAAGGAAGGACTTTCTGATTAAAAACCAAAGACCTTGAAAATGTATCGACACCAAGAAAAGAGAAACATCGACAGAATCTAGAATGACTTTCTTTTAACTTTAATATTTCGAAAGTGCAGATTAGCTGAAACATAAATTGCGTCAAATATTTACCTACGACAGTACCCCAAGCACGAGGGCTATCCACAACGATGGTTGACATAGCAAAGTGAAGAACTGGTACTAAAACGCAATAACAGAGGAAAATAATCGCTTGTGAGTAAAGAAACGTACAAAAAGCAAATAAAGAGTAAACTTAAAACTGCATCGAGTTTCCTTGCTTCACGACGTTTTACTTGAATGTACTACTGTATTAAAAAGATTTAGCAAGAAAATTCAACACTCACCAAGCTACTTCTAAATGTCTTATTCTGAGAGGAAGGTTATCACAATTGCACTAAATAAGTCGGAAGACAACCAATTGTTCCCGACCCAAGACAGTTTGCCAAATCCCGGCAAGTAGCTGCAGAGAAAAATTCGGACAAACAATATTGTGAGTAATCAGGTTAATGTGTCGCGTTTGAAAGTAAATCGTTTTTACAAGTCTAAGAAACCAAATTAAATCTAGAATATATAACTGAGTTTAAATTTTGTTGCTAAATAATAACGAGTTCAAAGAAAAGCAGCTGGATAAGCTTTAGACTTTAAATTAGACACAGTAGAGAATGCTCATGGCAATTACATTATTTTGGAATATTCGACTATTTCTGAAGTGCTAGTAGTATACATTACTTAAGAAATCAATCAAGACATACATTGACTTATAAATATACCAAATAGGACACTCGAGCGGATTAATAACAGCATTAAGGGCAAAATAAAATGAAACAAAACTGGAAGAGTAATGAATTAGTTTCCACACTGGAAAGGCAGCAATGATCGAAATATTTTATTAAGAGATGAATAGTAATTTAATACCCCGAAGCCGCCTGAACCCAGTTACAAAAACACCACAAGGCACGAAAACCTAAAGTCGAGAGGTCAGCTAGCGAAGACAAACTAGTGTGAAGAAACCACCAGAGAAAGACACGTACATAATTCGTAGTCGCTGAACTAAGTAACAACCAAATATTGGGCTCGATAATGATGCCTTTGGATGCAACAAAATATAAATAAAGCTGTATTCGCTTTCTAGAATAAGAGCATCAAAGCACACTTTAAAAGTCAGCTCTAAGCAATACTGCTAGCTAATGCAAATTTTAATTGGTTATGCAAATAGTGTATAAAAATCTGCTTAAACAGAACGACAACGGCCGCGCAAGCAAAAGTAAAAATACATGGCGTGTGATCATATAGGCTAGAGATCAAGGACCAATTAAAAAGGTCGAAATCCTTAAGGCCACTAAAGCAAAATGCCGGTAGTCCAGACAAAGAAAATGCCAATAACTAATTTTAAATGGTCTTGCACATACAGTTTGCTTGTTTTTATGAATGCGCGTTTATAACTGTGTCATGTGCGTCTAAATGCATCTAAAATAAGTTTTTTCAACTTCTAATTCTTACTAGAAAATGTAAATGTGTGCTAACATTTAATGTTCGGTTCATGTGCTTTAAAACCACTTTTAGGAAAGCAAATATATCTGATTAAGCCAAATAATTGATATCATACTGGTTTTTTTATTATACTAACCTTTATTTTTATAAATGGGTGTGGTATTTTCTGATTGCAAGTTGGAATTATTATGAATCATGATTAAAGTCATTTTATCATTACAAGGCTAGCTTTTTTTCAATTCACTGTAATTAATTAAGAATAATTTACTTTTGAGCTGTTTCAGAATTTCAAATTCATGCATAATATTTAGGATACTATCCATTTTGTTATGTGCCCAATTCAGTCGGTTATCTTCCTTAATATTTCTTTAACGGATGATCTAGGAATACTACCTACTATTTTTTTATATGCAAGAGCAATTTGTAAGGTTCACTTCACTCTATGTGTATTATTATCATGGTCGCGAACTGTTAATAAAGGAAAACCTTTTTAATATTTTCGTCATGTTTTTTAGTCCGAAGGTTTTAGTGAAAGTGTACAGAACAGCAAGCTGTGGGCGTAATGCAAACCTATTTGTAAAAGTTAGAAAAAATGGCAATATTCAAAACAACTGCTTTGTCTGTATGTTAGCATTGATTTGTTTTCGTGCGCACATTTTCTTGCCTTAAATGTAACATGCCAACGGTCACACTCTTTTTATTATCATTATACTACTATTTTGAGTTGATAGCTTCGATTTGTGCCAACCATTCCTAATCCATTGTGTTCATATAACCATTTCACATTTTAACTGTCTTTATTGTATTAAATTTCCTAGTATGTTTGAATTTGCACCAAAGGAATATGAGTGAAGTGGTTACTCTGTGATCAAATATCAGGCCTATGCATTGCCTACTCTGCGACCGCAGCAGTTAATTTTGCATCTAAAATCCAGTCACAATATGTAAGCTACCAGATGCTGGTTCGATTTCCACGTTGAGGCTTTGACCCGAACCATCCGCTCGATTCTGTTTCTAAATAACTTAAATCTAATAATTTGATCTTCCTTGAGGATAATGTTGATTAAATTACTGTTTTTTTACAAATTTTATAAGTGTTTTACAAAAGAAAATAATGCTGCAAAGTCATAGGTGAGTTTTATGACTACCACTTTAACTACCTTAGCTAAGGCATCTATTTTCAAAAAACGTTGCTTACCATTATTATTACTAGTGGTAATTTACTTAACAAGGCGCATAAAGGAATAAATTCAGTTCTCCGTTAGCGTCTATGTTAGCAGTCAGTACTATGAAGTTAGTGCCCAATAATTGAGGTTATAAAAGATTTATCATCTGCATTAAAACCTGCTAACTTTGAGTAAGAACATTCATTCAAATATTAATTTTATCATGAGTTCGAAATAATGCGGTAACGCCTTGATAATGCTCCATTCTTGTCATTTAATAATTATATGCTTTTCGATGTTTTCAATTAGTGAAGTTGAATTCATAAATACAAAATAGTGCCCTATTGGGCAAGGCAATGGAACACTTCATAGAGGTAACTCTTACAAATGGTCTGTACCATTAAACGAATCGAGCTTTGTTTGTAGCCTGTAGCTTGAGAATCCAAACAGTTAAAAATAGCGCATAAATGCATTGTTTTTATATTGTTGGCAGATAATTCCAATTTATGCTGCGAATCACAATATTAAAATGTCTCACCACTATAATTAGGTAACAATGGAATGAAGGAACAACCAACTTTTTTCTCCACAGAATGTTCACAATGTTACACCCACCAAATGCCATTTAGTTCTTTTCTATGTGCTGATGTATCATAGATATGTTGTTGTCAATAAAGTAAACGGACGATTTCATTGACAGCAAATGCCAGCAGCTGCAACTGCAAAACATTGCTTTCAATCACAATCCAAATTTATAATCAAGCTCTACCCTGGTGCTACCTGTTAATAGGCGTCAGGGTTTATCTGGTTATCTCAAATGCTTCAACAAAATTTTGTGAAACGGTCCCTAGATGTCATGAATTGGGCCTTGCGCTAAATTAGAGTGTTTTTGCATGGTCTGTTACTGGACTATGACCGTAGCCCACTCTGGTTGTAACTTATTGCAATGTTTTTTTATAGTCGACATCAAAATATGTTTTCCGAATTTCTATAATACATTGTAAAACAATGAACTGACGTTTTGTTATGAAGCATAAATTAAAGGCTCGGCGTGTTTCTGCACGCCATTAAATTAACTTGTGGTAGATATTAGGCCACACTTTGTGGGTTTCACTAATATCGAGAACAATAAATGCCTCGATTTGCCAAAAAATATCCATGAACATAAATCTATATGTTCAGAACATTGAGGCACTACGGCAATTAGTTGGCATACTTAAGGGGACATAGAATTATGATTTTGCCTAGGGAAACATTTAACAAGTGTGTATCTTTGTCACAAGAAAACCGTCAAGTAATAACAACTGATGATCACAATGATTTTTTCTCATAATCAGGTCAAAGTTTATGTTCAATTTTTTCATTATTTGGTTTCCTAATTACCAGTATAAGTAAATGTTTGAGTTTCAAGGATTCGATGCAGATTATTCAGGCTACCAGAAAATAAAGTATAACCCTCTGCACATAATGTTATTCTATTTTGCGAAACTTAGTGCCATAACTCATTTATCCGGCGGACTATCGTTACCATCCTTACGTCTGTTTGTATTGGGTTGACAGGATTAGAATCCATACTTTAACAATTATCGAAAAATCTAGATGAAGTTGACATTAATCCAGTTAAAAAAAATAATTCAAGTAGCTGAATCCGAAAGAGGTTTAAGCTTGATACACGGAATCCGGTAACACTTAACGAAAAAGAAGACCTATCACTATTGAGTGCTTTTTGTAAAACCAACTAGTTTTCACCTAGTTTCATGATAACCGATCTTTTTCAATGTCCGAGCTTTTAAGGTCCGATGTAGGTTAACTTAATAAAGAAGTAATCAAATATTTGTAAATAATATTCCCCAATCCGGAAAGCATGTGGATCATCAGTCTGATTCCAGTGAGCTGACAAGGTCATAATCTATTTTTAATTTTATAATTATCATGGAATTTAGATGGAGTTTGTTTGAAGAAGGAAAAAGAATTCAAACTGCTTTGAGTATCAGGAACACAGTACAGCTCAGGCCATTCGGCTTGAGAGCCACACATACGTATCTATTCAATTTGCATGACCAAAAAATTTACATTGTCTTCTAGATATAGAACAATTTTTAAACGGCTGTCGCGGGTTTTACTGCATTTTTTCCTTGTTATGTGATTTACCACTTCGTAAAAATAAAAGTGCAAAGACAATTTTTTGATTCACCTTTGATTGTATGGGGACAAGAAATTCCACACCTGGGAAAAGTGCATTCACATACGTGATGCCTGGGATCTTCTCTAGTTCACCTCGTCGGGTCAAATGCGTTGGCTTCTTGATGGATATAAAACTTGATCGGAAAGTGGACACTTAGAAGGCGCAAAACCAGCTTACCGATCAAACAGTATGTCAGTTCCTGTTTCTTCTTATAATAAGTTAATTGATTCTTAGAAAAACAAGTCAGAATTTCTCGTAGTGAATTCTGGTAGGTATAATAATGGACTATCAATTACAGTTTTGTCTTTTGTTGTTAAAAATTTTATTTGTCTCCATGTTCGGGGTTAAATCGTGAGGATAATTGGTCAGATGCCATTCCGTCCTTTCATGCATTTTATAATGAATTTGTTGTTGCCAGAAGTGTTTCCTATTTATACCATTCTTACTTTGTGTTCCGATCTCATCGAAATGGCTCAATCACTCCCACAAGTCTGCTACCAATAACTTGAATTCTCATATTGTTGGCTGGATTTTACACATTTCCCAACCCGGAAGTGAGTAACAGACCAGATTAGATCAAACGCTTATGTACGACTTAATGGCAACTGGATAGACGAAAAACATTAAAATGAACATGTGATCTCTGATTACAGTGACATGTAAGTAAGCCTTAGGGCCAAAGATCATTTTGGATGTGCAATCCTGCGTCGACTAAAACGGCTATAAGGTACTAATGGCACCACACAATACACCAGAACCAAAGTAAGGTCTGACATGTAAGTCAAGTATTAGGAAAGTTGGAGAACGAGTGGTAAGAAAATTGCGTGTTTTACATTTAAAGAAATATGTTTCATTAATTAGACTGTTCAAAATATCTGGTTGCTTTAACATGCATTATTGAATTTACTTCCGTTTAAAATATCAAGGTCTTTGATTGCCTCCGAAAAAAAAGACAATCGGCGTTTGTCCACATTTGTGCATGAAACCAAATTAAACTTTACTTCAAGATCAGTTCTGGTAATTTAAATGCACATATTCACGGCAATCTTGTGTAATATTTTATCATACTTGTGGGCTCTATGTATGCCTACGGAAAGAATAATTCGCCAGTTTATCTCTTATGTGACGAGGCATTGTCCGACTTCAAATAATATTTTTAAAAAATGTGAAGCTCTAAAGGTGATGTAATTGAAACACCTAGAGAAGTGGTTTACCACGATAAGGACCTCGGTACCACGAATATTGTAGTTGGACAAAAGTACAGGCTTGTTTTGTTTTACTAATTTTCGTGTTTTTACTAATTCGTATGCTGCACATTCATTTTGCCTCTCCCTGTTGCATTTAGAATAATTTACCAAGTGCTTGGGATAATTCATTCAAGCCCTGTGTGTGCCAAAAATGCGATTTACTAATGGATTGTAGTTCTAGTGGATAGAAAAAAACGCCATTTTAGTCTAGGCATAACAACCAAAAGTTTTTCCCTTCAAAAGAAACGTTATTCTAAGTCGCTGAGATTGTGCATAGAAGGCGCCTTGTGTCAATTTAAAATGTGCTCTTATGCAGTCCGATAATGTCTAATTGCTGACGGCAAGAATGAAAACCCCGATATCAAAATTCCAACGCCCACCATTCATTTTGTCAGCTGCCCTGGACAGTCCGAAATGTGGTTGTAACAGCCAAGGACTGTGATTGAGTGTAGGTCAAGTTTATAAAGCATGAGGTGATCCAGGATATGGTTGAACACTTTCAGGACAGGTTGCAGATTTGCTTGGAAGCATTCCGACAACAACAATGGCGCAGCACAGAGTCCATATTTTGTTGGCTTCGATTGATTCACGAAATCGCATGGCCACAAGTTGGATTGTAGTTAATTAACAATAACTGTCTTAACTATACTTGGCTTCAGTTCACCAAACAGTATTTAAAATCATTGCTAAGTAAAAAGTGGAAAAAAATAAAATAAACTGGTCTGACACCTTTTCTTTACGTAGTTCTTAAAAGGTAGTAGAATAAGGCAAAGACACAATTTAAAAGCTACTAAAACTCAAACAACAGTAATGAATTTTCTGGATACACCAAATTTTTTGAAAGAATTGGAAACCGGAGTTATTATAATTTGGCTTTTCCAATGACTTTGACGCATGGAAGAAATAAAACATGAGGTCCTAGCTCAAATATAATTGGTCACTTGATCCTAAGTTCAATAGTGGCAAGATCTGCCAACGTGTCAGCTTTTCTCAAAACTACGGTTACAAATTTACTTTAGAACCACAAAATATCGTGGAAATCTGACCACAAGCAAAAGTTTTTCTGGACCCTCCTCGAGAATTATGCATTACCAATTTCAATATATTCGGAATTTTTCATTTCAATTGACCCCTTACAGGAGGCCGGCTTATTGTTTTACGGGTTTGCAATTATTAATTCGCTTCCAAAAATATGCTGACTACTCAAAATCTTTAAAAACGTGAAGGCTTTACCACATTTAAAATGAATCAACATGAAGTTTGATCATAAATTGCAAGATTTATAGTCTAGCGTTTGTCAAAAGTGAGCATTTATTGACTTCCAGCATGCAAAGCTTCTGAGAGGTCAATCTATATTTTTTGTTGTAGATTCTAGGAAAATGGAATTGAAAATTAAGTATGTCATAGCTCTTCTGGTTATTTTGCTATTCACTTGCCTGGCCGTCGGACTGGACATCAACATTTGCGGCCCCCTCTTCAGCTCCAACTGCAGATCGGACAAGGTCTACAAGCAGATGACTGGGCTCATCGCCACCGCCCTGGCTTTATTCATTATCGGCGTTCTCCTTTCGACAGTGTCACTGAGAAAACGAAAACGGTGGATTTCCATTTGTGAATTCATCGCTGTTGCTCTGGGGGCTATAATGCTGCTGGCAGCGCTGTGCCTCTTTTACAAAGGCAAGCACTTCTGGGCGCCACTCATGGCCGGAGTTGCGATGACTTTGGCCATGGAAACCGCTGTTTTTATGCTCATTGACATGATGGCATGAGGCGGCGGCGTGCAGTGGTGTGAACTCTCGACGTTAAACTAACAATACTTATACTCGTGCTATATGTCAAATTCAATTTAAGGTTCTTAATTAACAGTGCTGAAAATATTAGAGGTCTTCTGAATTTGGTTTTTATAGAAGCAACACACTTGAACAAAACAACTGATTGAGACCGGTCATCAGAATGCAAAACGGAAAGCACTTAGACACACAATCACCAAATATAAGATATTCAGAAGGAAGCAAGCACCACTAAAATGTTGTATTGTTATCAAGTTTCCGCAAGGTTATCGGTATCGTGCCTCACTTTCCGACTATCGAAAAATAACACCGGGGTTAGTCTTCCACGTTTCGTCGTACTCCTAGCTTCTATAGCGTGAAACGTCAGTTATAACTTTCACTGGATATTGTCATTGATTAAAAAAGGGACAGAAATCAATCTTACTTTAATATAGAATTAGCCCATTGAAGACTGTGTTTTCTGTTCAAGGGTGCAAAAATTTATTTACTAATTCAAAACAACAAGCGACTGTCTGAGGAATACGCGTTATGGTTACTTTGGATCCTTGTTAAGTACTTAATTCATGTTTTCATGAGGAAAGCATCAGCCACAAATGAGTGAGTGTTTTCTATGTGAGAAATTGCTTACAAGCACATTGCATGAAAATGCTCATTGCACCAAAACGATAACAGTAGCTCTGCTACAAAAATGAAACCTCCCCCTTGATGCCCCTTAAATTACTGTGGTATTTTAAAATAGAGGAACTGGACTGCACTTCTGTTGCCAACAAAAACGCTATTTCAGAGAATCTGCACTCGCAGTTAAGTACTGCGAAGTTTTCCAGCAATGGACGTTAGATTTTGGTAAACGACTGTCAGCGAATAGAAAATAAAAGCAACACAGACCTAGGAAGATTAGGTGGTGGAGATACAACCGTTTACTACACGGCTCCACACCGTTGTGCTGTTGTTGTGTAATAACAATGTTGCGCGTGACAACTGAAGGCGTTGACGAATGCAGTTTGGGTGAACAAGTAGAAGTACTAATGGCTGCGGGGCCAGATAAGTTAAAAGGTGTAGTGGGGAGCCGTGTGTGTACAGGGGTATGTGGGCGGACGCCCCGGCATGGTAAACTGGGAACGCTTTGAAGAGAGGGTGGTGTGCTGGAGCGTGTGGCGATGGTGGTGATGGACGTGAAATAACGCAACTCATTCCTATTGCCGAGTCAGCGTTTACCTGTGTAGTTGTTGGCCCTTCCCTGAACAAAGTAGTTGACATTTCGAGTCGTTTACACTATTCTTATGAAGATACTAACTCTACGAAAATAACGTGTTGACTCCTTTCTGCATATCCCCTTAATGGAGCTGTATAGGAGCTATAATGTACACAAGTGCTATTAAAAAGTTTTAAAGCTTGACTCGGCTGTCGAATAGTTACTGGTTCCAACTACCAGCATACGATACCAGCACAAGAACCACGTAAAACACTTTTAAGAGGACAGTTGGCGCTGTAAATGCGGGTGAGTGGCGATAGTTTGGACACATAAAAGTTGACCTCTTAGCCATCAGTACTAAAACGTTTGGGGTCACAGTAATTTGCTAAAGTGGCACATCGCCCACTGTCGACCTCCTTAGTCGATAATCTTTGTGTAACCAAATTAAGCTTGATTATCACAGTTCATGTTTGGCTGTAATCACTGACAGCAACTAGAGTAGAGAGGGGAATTCAAGTCACACCAGAATTCTAAACGAAGTTACATCGTCAGGTATCATTTAACCGAAAGACAATACTTTTAAATAGGTATTTTATCGAGTTTCAGTATCTTACCCTAGCGTACCCAACTCTGTATTCGATAGAGTAATTTCGTACTCAAAGGCGGTGCATTGTTAAATTGTATTTGGGTGTCTCTGGGTTCGATGATAATGTTAATTTAACACCATAGAAAGGTTCTGATTATCTAAATTAAATAACTGATGAGTTAAATTAAAACGCTGGCATTCAATTGCTTCATCAATTCACCATTACATGTTTTTTTGTGCAGTCATGACTGCGAGTTATGCGCGCAATGATCATCTTGCTTTCTCGTTTGTCTGAAGGACGGAATTAAGACTCCATTAATGCCTTCGGACAATTTTGTATATAAAAGTCAAGTTGCTACTAGACATGCTCTAGACCGTGATGGAAATTATGCTTGCAAGGGCATTCACTTGTAATTGCTGAGTCGCAAACCGCTGCTCTAGGTTATTGAGAGTAATTGCCCTCAAATTGGGAATCTAACCTTGCATATGTTGATGTTAGCTGTAATTTTAGGATAAAAAGCCGAATTCAGCCTTCGAAATAGTTTAGGAATAGTTTTGCTGCTGTCCAATACAACGTGAAGTACCCAGAGAAGAAATGAGACGAGAGAACCGGCCGCTTACAAGAAAGCTCAACTAAGTTGTCATGCGTGCCACAGTCGTGAATATCTAATAGAATTCAGGTGAGCGAGTTAACGGACCAGTGTTTAAATGGTCAGATGGATAATGTGGGTAGTGACGGTACATGCAGAGGGGTGAATGAGCAGACGGTCCAGCACGGCTGACGGGCTCCCCTTGAAAAATGGGGCATTGTGTGTGAGGCTGCAACGACTGGGTTAATGGATGTGAATCAACACGATTCACAACCGTCCCAAGGCATCTCAGCTAATGTGCCTCATTTACCTTGCTAAGACACATCAATTAACATACTATGCCACTTTTTTATTTGTTTTGCTTGTTTAGTTAATTTGTTTTATTCCCGACATAAATTGTCACTTTTCTCAAACCCACGTTTGTCCTCGTCTATATATTTTGGCCAAAAACCTAGTTAAGATTGTATAGAGATATCATAGGTATCGTTTGCTGTTGTACCGCAGCAAAGTCAGCTGATCTAACTGGATGAATGCGATTGGTTCTCGTAACGGAAAATCAATACGATTTCAATTTGCGTTTTGTGTTCGAAAAGTGACTTAAAGAGCTTGACTGAAACAACGAATGCTTATTTGCGTAAGCACAACAGCAAGTGTTTCAACCTTTGCGACTTGTTCTCAGTCGAAATTTCAATCTGAATAAGGTAATCTGTGAATTCTAATAACTTTCGGTTTGCTTTTATTCGATAACTTCAAATGTTTTAATTCCGACTCGCTCCATTCACAATAACAATTAAGAAAAAGTCCCGATCGATGATGGCACAGATAATTGTTAGCAGGTTTGTCCTAATGGCAGCAACTAAAAATGGTGTTCTCAACTTGCATTTGAATATTTATTTTAACATTAACATTACCAAAACCTATCCTCAATTATTTTACTTTGTCTATTTTGTCGACTTGTAATTTTTTTGTCCAACATTTTTAAAGCCTGAATCAGAAGTAACTGATCATCAAAATATTTGTAATCCACAAGCAAAATTTGCTGATATTTAAGTAATGCATAAGTTAACCATGCGTACATATATAGATCACATTTAAGGTACGTGCTTGAAATGGTAACAGTGAGCAATAATGTTAAATAATCAAAGGCAATGTCAACGACCTTCGTTAATATCCTATCCGAAGACCTTTCAAATTGATGATAAAACCGTATTATTAATGTTGTGGTAGAAACTTTTTGCAGCCACTCAGATAAATGGGCCTCCCACGACATGCTTACGAAGCCCATTTTTAATCCGCTGCACTGTGCATAGTGTGATTTGTATTCTTCTTTAATTAACTGAACTTGGTCGATTCCATGCATCCGAATGCAAAGTTGCAAAATATTTTTTCAGAACTGAATATATAGGCGCCCGGGAATTTGATTAACTAAAATCTCATCATGACGGAACTCACATCTGACTTTAAAATTTACATATAAGACACAGAGTCTGAAAATTCGTTAGTTAAAAAAGACAGGTAGTTTTCTTGGTATGGTTGATTCCAGTGCCCGCATTCTGACAGGACACAAATTCAGTTATCAGATAATGTGGGTATAAAACTGAGTGCAAACAAGCTGAATTAAGGTCAACCTATGTCTGGATTGTATTTAAGTGCTTGGATAGAAAAGTAGGGGAGTCAGACAACACGAGCATCCTCCGAAAACGCAAGGTAAGTGTTTGTCATTTGTTGGTCGAATAATAATCGAACACAAAAATTTCAAATCTAATTTAAAGCAAACTTTTCGTGTTAATATTGATCCTAAGACAACAAACGATCGATAGGGAAGCTTAGATTGAACTAATATCGAAAAGGCACATTAACACATTCACCCTAATGGACTCCTATCTGTTAAGACAACACTTGGAGCAGCTACTAAAAAGCTCATAAGAATTTAGCAAATGTCATACATGTTAGGCCGTTTTGTGTTTCAAAGCTTCATAAATATAATAAAACCACTGCAACATTTCTTTGTTTCAGAGCTACATTGCAAGATTTCAAAATACATTGCGGTAGGCTGTTAGGAATGGTGTGACGTAATTCTTTTGTCCAACGAAGCTCAAGCATAAGCAGTTGTATATAGGTTCGCATGACACATATTAGTACGAACTAAATTTCGATAACATGTTATATATTATTCTTATTTATTCAACTGTTTGATTCTCATTTTTGTATGTAATTTGTGGTGATGCCTAATTTCAACATCGGCTATCATTGCCTTAATAGAAGTGTGCAATGACAAAAAAATTTAACACCCCCGGGCTATTTTAGCTTATATTAATTGGTTTTAAATATGTAAACTACCTGAAAAGCAGCCGATATCATTTAACATTTGTGAAATCCAGGAGCGTTTAAGTCTTTTGCAAAATGGAGACACAAAACCGAAAGAAAACAGTGCAACTCATGGAAATATTAGAGCTTTGTGACCTCGTATATTGGGCACAAAATCTGTGAACAGTAGAAGTAGAACCATAATAATTTCAGAAGTATGGTAACAAGAAACTAAAAGTATGAACCGTACATAAAGTTTAAATTTAATGATACGCTTCAGAGTGGTTGAGTGGTTCTAGTGAAT